CCCCAAAACCCCAAAACCCCAAAACCCCAAAACCCCTAATGGAGAATAATAAATTGAATATATTTCAAAAAGCCGGAAGCATGGAACCAGACCTAAGACATGAGTTCAGAAAAAGTGTATCAATGAGGAAACTTTTAGGCAAATCTCCCTTAAAACCGGCACAAACTAGCGGTAAGTTTACCTCAGAGCCCTGCGCTTACAGGTGTAGGATTTTTAGAGAAATTCGATGCTAATATTACTATAGACACTCTGGAAAACCATAGGAATCTTAATATGTCGTTGAATGGTAATTAGCACAACAGGCAGACTCTTTCAATATCCACTCAGCGGTATTGCTCGTACTGAGGATATTAAAAAATTCAAAGGAGATAACTTTGAACAGTCTTATTATAAATTTGTGAAAGTCAGAAAAATATTTTTGAATGGCAAAGGACTGTACGAATTAAAGCTTGTGCAATATTGTTTTACCAACTCAAATCTGCCTCTTTATAACGCAGTCCCACTCAACATGATGCTTACTGAGAGCGAAGAGAAGAAAAGAAGAAGACTCTCTAGTCTTAAAGAGGACAATATTGACGATTCCTATCATGCCAATGGAAGTGGTAAGATGAAAAAGTATGTAGTCAGAAGAGAGAAAAAGAAAAAGACGCCAAATCCGTATAAACTAGCTTCGGCTAGAAAAAAATTTAGCAAATTTGAGAAAATTTTTAACAGGATCAATCTCTCGAAGGTAAAAGAGTCTTTCCAGGAACTTAAAAATAACACTCAGAAAGATGTTTTTGGAGCTAAATCTGGCAATGACATATATAACGAGACGAATTATACAATGCCAGTAAGTCCTTCTCCTAAATCTGTCCATCCTTACTTAACTCTAGGAGTCATTTCCCCTCTCAGTGTTGAAATCAGGTCTAAACCCTCAGAACAGCATTTCCATGTGAGTGATGCCACAAGCGTTTAAACTTGTAAACTATATTATAATTCCTAGACCAATGGCAGAAGTCTGAGTATGACCAACATTCCAACTACTTTGGAGAGACCCAAAAAGAAACTAAGCAAGGAGGAATACATCAAAAGGTGAAAACAGGGCCTCAACACTATCTCTAATATTATCTCTCGAGTCGAGCTTAGCCGTAAGAAGACCATCTGGGATGTCCTGGAAGAAATGCGTATATCCAAAGTTGGAATAATAGTCCGCAGAAAGTCCGTACAAGAGGAATTGGAGCTTAAGAAGGCCAACAAGTCCTCCTCTATGAATGAAAAAACCGAGCCTAGTACCGAGATCGACCAACAAGTCATTGACAAGTTTGATTTGGATTACGAATTCCTTGATAAATTAGAACAGATGCGGGATAAAGGAATCAAACATGATGAATACGATCTTGTCAAAGAGAATAAGAACGGAGGAATGTTTTATAACCACGAGAACTACTCATTTGGAAAAGAAGGCAACTCAGATATTGAGATGGGCTATCATTCTGATATCGACCGTACGAATAGTAATCCTTCTGAGAGAGCAGACCGGAAGCTGAGCACTAGCTCTCACGATTTTGGGAAGGAAGGTAACGGTAATAACCATGAGCAGGTTTATTTCCACAAGAATGGCGGTGCTAAAAGAGTCCTACAGCAAACACCTGGATCTCTTAGATCCCTGGATGATTGAGATGAGTCTTCTGTATATACTCTTGAGTTAAATTCCATTCTGAAAGACTGAAATGTTAACACTCGGTTATCTGACTTGAACAGCGAGATAACCTTAAGCAAATGAATAGCTAGTAAGAATCTATTCTGATATTTTCTAGGTTCAATGGGCGAGTCCAAGAACAGTGAGCTTAATTATACGGGCAAAATAATGAATGAAGACATAGAAATGATGTCTAAAGAGATAGAACAAATCCGAGAACATATCTTAAAGAATTCGGAATTCAAGCTTTCCAAGACTTATAAATCCCCAAATCAAACTCCTAGAAGGAGGTCGATGAACCAACAAATAGTAAGCTCTTTAAGAATCTCATCCAGTGATGAGGGATACTTGGAAGACTCTGATTAATTAAAACTGTTATGACAGCCATTTATTTTCAACCCTAATTTTTTATTTTGGGGTTTTGGGGTTTTGGGGTTTTGGGGTTTTGGGG